AATCCTATTCATTTGATCGCATGCTTTTTCTAAATCCACAAGGATACAATAAACTTTCTTGCTCACATTCAGCAGTGACCTGCTGAAGAGTAAACAGCTGACCTGTGCAGACCCTGTCCAGCATAATAAACCACCCTGCACAACCCAAATATTGCTCACTATCGCCTCTGGTACCCTTTTGATCAGAAGACTGCCAAGTGCCTTCCCAGGGACACTCAACAAACTAAATCTCTCTGTGGTTTTTGTGTTTACTTTTGCTACTTTTCTCTTTCTACAGGGGATCAATAATGGCTTCTTCCAAACATCAGACACAGCTGCAGTCTTCACACATGTTGCATAAGTTATGCCACTCAGTTAGCAAACCACATCCATATTTAAATGTTTCTCCTGTCATACCATCTGCACCTGTAGCCTTGCCATTTCTCAACATGCTCACAGTGTTTTTTCCCCCCCTTGGACACTAACATTTATATTGTTTGTTTAAATTCCATTCTTTGACAAATTATTCCCATACAAAACTCTAACATACTCCTTCAAAGCGTCCTTTAAAGATTCCCTCATTTCAGTTATATCCCAAATCATCTCATCACTTTAATTCCATTCATGCCGACGGGGGCTCCTTGGTTAGACCTCGTTGCCTACTTCCCAAACTATTTTTTATTTTAATCAAAATCACTCTGCATTTTCTCTGCCCTTTTAATCTTAATTGTTCCCTGCTCTGGTTGACTACATTCTTTACCACTACCTTTTTTCTGTCTATCCGCATTACAAATATCTTTCTCCCTTGTCATTGCATTAATCATTTTTGTATATGCATTTTTCTCACTAACAACCTCTTTTAGTTAATCATTCCATCAAGCATCTTTTTTCATCTTTCCCATTGCTGGAACTCCATACATGTCTGTGGCACTCTATCACATCATTATTTTTGCTTTGTTCCAAGCAGTTTCTCTTATGGAAGGATATGTCCACTTTCTATCCTTTATGTCGGAAATCCATTTTTCTGCTAATAGCATTCACTTCCCTGCAAGTATTCACCAATCCTATTCTACAAGATCAGACTAATGATATGCAGCATTCATACGTGAACCAGGCAAGGGTGCTTTGAATCCAGCACGGGCTCTCTCTCCACCTGTTGGCTACCCTTTAACGAAGCCATGCCTTTTCTTGGGCTTGTGCATTAGCCACATAGGCTCAGGAAAACACATAGACAGTTAAGGAGGTTGCACCTCCCCATCCTCTCAATTTCACAGAGAGACAATACAATTATTTTTCTTTCCCTCCTTTCATTTGTTGATGTACGCTCTTTCCCTTTCACTCCTCTGCATTCCAGGTCACAATCTGTGAACAGATCAGCCCATGTTTACCTTTGCCACCCATCACAGCTTTGCTCAAGCAAGGCTTTTATAGCACTTTATTGTAAGCTGGAGAAGGTGTAAACTAAGTTACCCATCTTAGCTGAACCCGTGCAAAGTGCAGCATTCCCAGATAGTGGTATGGACAGTACCTGTCCGTTTGGGCATATTTTGTATGCCATAAGCACAATCCAAGCCCAGTTTTAGCCTAAGCATGTTCAGACTATTCTGGGCAAACTAGAGGTCAGTAATTTAGAGATGACAGCAGTAGCAAAATAGTTCCATGAAAAGATGCAATAAAGGAAGCAGTTTTTGGGAACACCAGCAGAGAACTGAAACCTAGAGCAACCAAATTGTTGAGATTAACTGTAGCATGACTTGCTAAACATTAAAGAAAACATGCTTGTTCCAGTCTCAAAGAATAAGAGGGCTTCTGAAGCTGTTCAAAATCTGGGAGATCAGATGAGAATTTCCCAACCTTGACCTTAAAATAGGGAACCCACCTTTGAGAGCTGTGACCACATAAGGGAATTCTATGAGAATATAAAGGGCACTCACAAAATGGTTGCCTGGGTGGGTGTGGCACCAGAAGGCAGACAAAAATCTGGATTACAGCCATCCATTTTATTTTCTAAGAACATCCCTGGGATCTAGATGGGCCCCAAAGGCATGGCAGAACTACAGATCCTGCTTCAGGCTAGTTCTTTGCAGAATGCCAGCTCACTTATTTTTTTAAATTAATTGAAAAACATTAAGAGAATCCAAAATCTGCTTATTAACAGTTCCTCATCAAATTGAAGACAAGTTTTGAATGGGGTGCCACAACAATCACTCCTCTACTCTTCAATACTTTCCCTGATGATTCGGATGAAGAAGTGGAGGGAATGTTTGTCAAATTTGATACCAAATTGGTTGGGCAATACTGCAAAAGGCTAATGATGATGATGATGATGATGATGATGACGACGACGATGGCTGGATGAAGATGATCACTGTAAATACTTGGGCATCCTTCAGGCTGACAACATCAAGCGCACTGAAGTCAAGAAGAGGGTTAATAGTAAATACATCAGGAGAGTGAAGAAGATGGGGGGGGTGTAGTGGGATTTGTATTTGGGATTTTTATTCCTGTAAGCCACCCAGAGTCACTGTGAGTGGGTTGGGTGGCCATATAAATTGTAAGAAGATCACACAGACTGACTACCAACAATGGCACGACAAAGTAGCAATAATGGTACACTGGAATATCTACAAGAAATACCATTTACCTGCAAGCAAGAGCTGGTGGGACCACAAAACAGACAAAGTAATAGCAAATGAAGAAGCTAAAGTGCTCTGGGACTTTAGAATTCAAGCAGACAAGCACCTGCTGCACAACACCCCAGACTTAACAACTGTTGATAAGACAGACAAAAAAGTCTGGATAGTGGACATTGCAATACCTGGAGACAGCAGAATAGAAGAGAAAA